GAAGGCAGGCAGGACTGGCTGCACAATTCTCAGGGTCCGGTCCAAAACAAAAATGCAGGGGCCCTTGCTCGGAAATCATGAAGAATTTCAGCAAAAGCCGAACATTAAACCAGGCCTGGGGACCTAAGTGTGGGGCTCTGTGTGACTACTCAAATGGCATCGTGTGGAGCCCACTCTGTGGGGAGGAGATGGGGGGAAAGAAACAAGGGGCAGGGAAAATGGGTGCAAAGGGGGCCAAGGAGGAGAAGGGGTGGACGCTTGCCAGGCACCGTGTGACCATTTACTACTGCCATCTCATCAAATACTCCACCACCCTCTGAGGTTGACTGTGCATTGGAGAAAACTGAGGCTCCAAGAGGAGAATCATTTACCCAAAGTCACGATTAGCAGGTGGCAGGCGCCTGAATGTAAATCCAGGTCTGTTCGGCTGCAAGCCTTGTCTCTGTCTGTTCTGGGCAGGTGGGGGGAGGTGACAGGGCACTGGGAGATGGAGTCTGTCTGTGCCTGAGCATCTGGGCACTGTGGGAGCTGGTGATGGCTGGAGTGAGGTCGTGGGGAGCAGGGAGGAGAAGCAGGCCCTCCCAGTCCATTCTGCTCCCAGGGGAGGTGGGGAACTGGACAGGAGCTCCTGGAAAGAGAATGCAGAAGCCTGGCGTCTGGGGCCCAGGATTTAGTTTTTTAATTTGTGAGCCATGAGGCAGCTTTCTCTAAGCAGGAGTCCTGAGGGGAGAAGCAGTGATTCGGGAGTGATTGAATTGGGGCGTCTTGGTGGTGGGCTGTCAGTGTCTGAGCCTATCACAGTGCTTGTCTTGGGGTGCCAGTGACTGGAGGGTGGCCGAATCAGGGGTCAAACGAGTGCTGATGAGCTAGCGCAGTCTTACGGAACCCCCAACTGAAGAGTGTGGAGTTAGGGTTCCAACAGTTGAAATAGCACCCCAGGTGTCAGCCAGAAACCAACAAACAGGCAAATCCCCGCAGCCCCGCCCAGCCTGTCCACCAGTGGGGGAGCTGATTAACCATTAACCCCCACCCTCCCCAGCAAAGCCTCCACCCCTTGGAAGAGGCTAGGCCAAGACTCCTGGCAGATCCTCCCAGAGGACGGTTTGAAACGCAGGGAGGCAGAGAGGGCACCTGGGAGGAGGCAGTGGGAGGGCGGAGGGCGGGGGGCCGGGGCTCAGCCTGGAGCCTTCCGGCCGGGCATCCCGGGCAAGGCCAGCGGCCGAGGGGCAGAGCGGGGAGGATGCGCCTCTCCAAAACCCTCGTCGACATGGATATGGCCGACTACAGTGCTGCGCTGGACCCAGCCTACACCACCCTGGAATTTGAGAATGTGCAGGTGTTGACCATGGGCAATGGTAGGTGGGGGCAGGTGTGCCCAGGTACGGGAGCAGGTCTGTGGCGCTCAATTTTGGGTTGGGAAGAGAATGACAGAAAATGGCAGGTTGTGCTTACAGGTGAGTACAGGTGTTGCCAGGTGAAGCAAATATGCCCAGGTACAGTGACCAGAGGCATTCTGGGTGAGGGGAGGCCTGCAAGGGCAAATCTCCAGCAAAAGTAGGTCCCGGGTATTTCTGCCAGGACCCCAAAGCTACTCCTGCTCAGCATGTCACTGGGAGTGAGGACGTGATGGTGGCTCCCTCTTGAAGTCCAGCTCCAGTAAGTGGGCCAGCATGGCCCCTTTTTAGCCCCTTGGGCCTTGGTGCAGAAAGGTGGAAAGGTAAGTCCTGTTTCTGGAGACGGGAGATGGAGGCACAACTGTGCTTCAGGGTGTCTTTGAGATGAACACCCCACTTGGAGAAAATGGAGTTCTCAGGGAAGTTTTGCTAAATGAGCCACCAGTCAGCAGTGTGCATGGTGTGTTTTGGTGTGTGACTGTGGCCTCCTCCTGGTGTGCATGCATGAGTTTCCGTGCGAGTGTGTGGGTAGGTGATGTACTGCATTGGCCAATATGTGCATTCAGGAACCCTTTTTAAATTTGTGTTTCTTTGTGTGTGTGCCTGTCCTGTGTCTCTTTCCGTTTGTATTTTGTTCACTGAGCGGGTCTGGGTGTCTCTAGGAGTGCCCGTGTTTGTCTTGCTCATGTCAACACGCAGCAGGGAGTGTGCATACATGTGGCTATGGATGTCTGCCCACGTGTGCTGTGGACGTGCATTTGTGTGTGTGTCCCATGCTTTCTGGATGTGCGCCCTGTTTAGGCATTCTGTCTCAGGGCCCTGTTTGTACCTGCTTGTGTACATCCCTGTGTAGAGGGGCCAGTGCCCTCTGGTAAGCATGATGATGCCAGGTTTCGATATTGCCTTTGGCCAAATGAAATTCACATCAGCTACATGTCTGTTTGCCTCTGAGCAGATTTTGCTGCCTGTGTGTACCTCTCCTCAGGTTTACACCTCAGCTCGCACAGCACCAAGAGCACCTCTGAAGGGCAGGAGGGTTTCCTCCAGAAGGAGGTGGGGAAAGGAGGAGGCCTGGAAGCTTCTGGAAGGGAAGGGCCCTGACTGGTGGCAGGCCAGCGTCAGAGGAGAAGTGGGTGGCAACCAGCCCAGGTCAGCCTGTCACTTGCCTTCCTTCTGTGGCTCTGCAGCTTCAGCTGAGGCCCGTTCAGCTCAGCCAGGGAGCGGTGACCATGCTTCCGATGATCAGAGGGCTCTGCCCATGGTCAGTCTCACTGATTGCCCCTGCCATCCACTCACTGTGTGACCTTGGGCATGTCTCCTGCCCTTTCCTGGTCTCAGTATCTTTTAAAAAATGGGCTTCATCACCCCAGGCCTGCTGTCTGTCCAGCATTTAGGAGTGTCCAGGGGTCACATGACAGAGCTGAGGGGAAAACACCCAGGAAGCGGTAAACAAGGAGCTGCCGCACCAGGCAGGGTGCTGTGTGACCCCACAGGGACACCGTGTGCCGTCACACTCTTGATCGCTGCCCGGCCTGGCCCGGCCTGCTCCCTGGGGCTGGTCCCATCACCATCAGAGCTCCCATGGAGTCCTGAACCCCCGAGGCAGAGGCCAAGACTGGGTGTCCCAAAGACGGGCCAGCCTGCAGCTCTCCAGCCAGAAAGACCTGGGCTCACACTCTGGTGTTACTCTTTCCTACCCCTGTGAGCTTGTCAAGCCGCTTTCCTCTCTGCTTTGGTCTCCTCTCCTGTAAAATGAGAGTGCGTAGTAGAGCCTGCCTCCCAGGGCTCACCAGAGGACTCGGTGAGAGAAGGCGCCTGAGCGCTTAGCACTGGTAACTGGTCCTGGCTGCACGCGGGTCATCACAGGAAGTCCTAGCATCTGTAAGGAGAGACTGCACTCTCCACCGGATTCTGAAGGGCCTGAGACTCAGGGTTATGTTTTGTATACATCCAGGGCTGATGGCTTGAAGGTGAGGAGTCAAACTTAGCAGCACCCAGCCCATCCTGCTCAGGATGTAGGGGACCCTTCCCCCAGCCTCCACCTGAATGGCCAGGAGTTGTGGGGTCAGCTCTCCCTGGGGGTCGGGGGAGGTGAGGCTGAGGGAGAAAGGGCACCAACACAGCTTAACAATTATCTCCATCTCCAGGAATAATTCACCAAGTGGAGGGGCCATGCTCCCGGGCACCCTCGGGAGTCTGGGAGATGTTCAGCCAGGCGATGGCAGAAATGAGATGCCGTTGGTGTCCGCTTGAGCACAGAGGCTGGAAGTCATCTGCTCCATGACTTTTCTTCTGCAGAAAAGTGTTCATTTCATAAATACTGCAGAAGAATGTTTATTTCACAAATTTATTTCATTATGTGCTTATTATGTGCTAAGCACTTCACGTACAATGATTCCCTGAATCCTTGTGACAGTCTCAGGCAATTTTTATGCTTGCTATTTTACAAGTAAGGAAATGAAGGCACTGCGAAGTGAACCAACACAGCCAACATCACGTGGTTAAGAGATAGGCAAGCTGGGACTTCAACTTGGCAGAAGGGCTACAGAGACGGCGCTCTTCTCTAGAGCACTATGCCCTCTCCGGTTCTTCACTGGGTATTCCCTGGAAGCTCAGCCTCAGGGTTTCTATGAAAACACGTGCGTGTGTGTATGACTCTGGGTGGTATGCGTATGCATGCATTTTTCTGGGGAGATGGTCCACAGTGTTCATCATCTTCTCCAAGAGGTCTCTCCTTGGTGAAAGTTTTGCCAACAAAAACAGGATTCAGCTGCTGAAGTTAAAAGAAAAAGAAAAAAGGGAAACAACCAGACCTGTCAAACAGCCCCCTTATACATTTAGGGAAACTGAGACCCTGGTGAGACTGAAGCAAGGAAAAGGGACTAGCCCAAGGTCACAGCTGAGTTAGCAGCATCTGCACCAGTGCCCGGGACCCCCGGCATCCAATCTAAGATCTTCGTCACTTGTCTCTTCTCCCCCTCCTCATGTTCATATAGATGCAGTAGCTATTGCCCTTGGGGCAGGAGGCAATCAAGAGGTGCCCAAATCCTTGCCCTGACCCTTCCAGGAGGGCGAACAAACCATCGTGCTTGCTGCATGTCTTCCCATTCCCGGGATGAGTTTGTGGGGCCCCTGGTACCAAATGAGACCCATTCAACCCTAGAAACCCAGTGAGAAATGGACAGGACCTGGGTCTGGGCAGATGCTGGGGGAGTATCTGTCTCTTCCACAGCCCCCTCTGCCCAGTCATTCAGGGTCTGTATGGGTCAGATGCATCCTAGGAGGTGACCAGTTTTTCATTCTTTCCCAGAGAAAGCTGGGGCTAGCAATGTCCTCCATGGGGAGAAGCAGACTCTTGCAAACGATGCAATGAATTCAGTGTCACAACCACCCCTAGGTTATAAATGCAAAATGGCGGTTTCAAAATGTCAAGGGACTTGCTCAAGGTCATTGAAAGAGAGGGAATAGCACCCAGCTCTGGCGGAAGCTGAAGCCTTCAGGAGATCGCACAACACTCATATTGGTTTCTGAATCTAAACCATCAGGAAGGCAGGGCCTCTGGAAGGTGACTTTTGGCTCCTGAGTCCTCACTCTTTTCTGGTGCAGACACATCCCCATCAGAAGGTGCTAACCTCAACGTGACCAACAGCCTGGGGGTCAGCGCCCTGTGTGCTATCTGCGGGGACCGGGCCACAGGCAAACACTACGGCGCCTCAAGCTGTGATGGCTGCAAGGGCTTCTTCCGGAGGAGCGTGAGGAAGAACCACATGTACTCCTGCAGGTGAGCAGCCCCTGCTCCAGCAGGGAAATGGGTACACTTGAGCCAGGAATGTCCCCCAGGGTCTGTCTTCTCTGTGGTTAGGGCTCAGAGGCACCTATCCTTCAAGGCCTCCAAGCCACCTCTGGTTTCTCAGGCCTGTGGATCAAGAAGAGAACACCTATTCCAGGAACCTTATTTACTGATCATAAAGCTGTCAGCTGCCCTTTATTTGAGCACTTGCTATATGCCAGGCACCATACTGTGTCTTTGCTTATATTTAACCATCCCCATAAGCCCATTGTTATTTTTCCCATTTAGTAAATGAGGATCCATGAGGCTAGGATCAGATTTCTTCTGAAGCCTCAGAGGGTGGGGTCCATCTCCCAATCTAGTGCTTTTTCTGGGGTAAATAGGGGATTGGCCCCAGGCCTTCCCACCTACCTTCAGAGCTTCCCAAAGCCTTGGAGATCTCTCCTTTGAAGTCATCTCCCATTATGAGTAGCAACAATAATAAAATAATAGCAGCTGTCAGTTATGAGCATTCTCCATGTACAAATACTGTGCCAAGCCCCATCCATGTATTATCTCATTTTCACCCGTCAACAGCCCTCTGAGGTGGTTTCTGGTATTCCCATTTTATAGGTGAGGGAGCTGTGGCTTGGAGAGGGCTAGAAATTTGCCCAACGTCATCCAGCTTGAATCAGTGGCACAGCCTGGATTGACATTCAGGGTCCCAGCCATAACCACAACGGGGCACTGCCTGTACTTACAATCCTTCCCCAGAGAATGGCTCATGTGGACCAAGTATTGACTCAGAAAAAACCAGGAGCCTGTGCTGGGCTCTGGGCTTCTATAGGATGTGGGAGAAATGGCAGTGCCCTGGCATTCAAGGGACTAGGGCTCCCAACTCATCTCTAACAGCAGGCCAAGTGGTCCAGGGCCATGTGTCACCTCTCCGAACCTGTGTCCCCCTGTTTTATAGTACAGGGTTGGACTTAGAGTCTATAGGGCTTTTCTCACGGTGAACATGAGAACTCCTGGGATGAAGGGTTGGGGCAATGCGGCGGGGGGTCAACCAGACGGCAGGGTTCTAGTTCCGTATGGGGAGGGAAAGGGCTGTTCCTTCTCCATCCAACTACCCAAGCCCTCCCCAGATTTAGCCGACAGTGCGTGGTGGACAAAGACAAGAGGAACCAGTGCCGCTACTGCAGGCTCAAGAAGTGCTTCCGGGCTGGCATGAAAAAGGAAGGTGAGCTCCAGCCCTGCCCTACCGCCTCACTGCCCCACCCACACCCACAGCTCCCGCAGTCATTTACAACCACAGGCACTACTTTATGACTGGGTGACAGGCTCCAGGGTGACTGGCTGCTGGCTGAGAAAAGGAAGGGCCTGGAAATCTGGCCACAGGGAGGGGCTGGGCTTGGTCTTGAAAAAGATTTGAAGAGATAAGCTCCCACTCTCAGCTACTCAGCTTCCCAGCAACCCCTACTCTGCCTTCACCACTACCAGGCAGACACGTTGGGTCTTTTATTCTTAATGTATGATTTCAAACATTAGGGGAAGTATAGAGAATGACCTTGCAAACGTCCATGTACCCATCACACAGACTCAGCAAATGTGGATGGGAGGTAGGGACGGGTCCTGTTTCTGAGCTTCCTGTCCCAGGGACAAGTGGCCCAGGTCTTGAGCATCAGGTGAGCTGAGGTTTTCACCTCCGAGGGAGTGGGAATGGGGCAACAGGCTCTTCCTGGGTGCAGAAGGAGGGGAAGAGGGGAACACTGCATCGCTCAAACCCTCTCCAGGCTCCTGCTTCCAGCAGATTCCAATCACTGGGCTGCGCTTTTCCATGACTGACAGTTCCTTTCATTCTCATGACAACATATGTGGCTGGCACTGTTATTATTCCCCCTTGTCGTGGATGAGGGAACTGAGGCCAAGAATGGTTCAGCAACTCCCCAGGTCCCCACAGCTGGTCAATGGAAGACCCCAGGTTTGAGCCCAGAACTTGGGATTCAAGCTCAGGGCTGCCTCCTTTATGCCCTCTAGACTTCAGGGACGTTTAAAATGTTTTCAGCCCAATGCCATGAAGCAAAAATCCTTTAACTGCTTCTTAGAGAGGCTTGAGTTCATTTTCAAATCTCTTCCTTTCCTTCTCCCCTCAACTCAACTTTCCAGCTCTGGGATCAGCCCCGGGACCTTCACTTCTGGCCTGCAGCTGTGGCACATCCGCCCAACCTCGGTCTAGCCCTGTGCATGTGCGCACATTGGCTTCAGCAGCCTCCCCTCCACTGCTTGGCGCCCGTTTTCTCAGCCTCCTTCCTAGGAAATCTCTTATGTGTCTCATCCCTTTAGAGCCTTGGTTTGAGCTCATGAGTCTTATTGGGAAGCCTGGGCGTGCTGGCCCTGAGGAAGGTGGTCTCCACGGCCCCTCCTGCTCTCAACACCACAGTCCCAGCACCCAGATCTCCGTGGTTCTCAGTGGCGGAGGAGCTTTTACAAAGGGCAAATGCCCCCCACCTAGTTTTCAGTGGGATTAAGTCTTTCTCACCCACTCTCACCTCCAAAGTGGGAAGCATCCTGTGAATAAGAAACATTAGAAATGGGAATGTAACACATGTATGAACCTCCAGAGGCAGGAAAAGATGGAAATCTATAGTCCAAGGGCCTAACAGTCTGTGGTTCTAATGGTCAGTGACTATTATCCTAATAGTTTAAGATGCTGGGTTTGAGAGCGTGGAACTCCCATGTTAAAATTTCGGGCCTGGTGACGGGCAGGTGGGAAAAGGGTTGGCAGCCTTCCTAGGCTGTACGTGCTGGTCCTGCCCATGGTGAGCCCTCATATATGTCTCTTGTTAAACAACCAGAGTCATTTTCACATGTATCACTTCAGGGAAGTGTCTGACCTCTGTCTCCAGTTTTCCCATCAATAAAATGAGGGAGTTGATAATAATCCCTCCCACCTGCCCACTGGGGCATGTGTGTTTGTTCCCAGGTCCTGCGCCTGAGCTGAGGAGGTGGCAGCCCATATCCCGGTGCCCGGATGGGGCTGAGAGCCCCAGGCCATTCTGCCTCAGCTTTGTGTTGAAAATTGTCATTGCTCCTTGGCTCAGGGAAGGTGGCATTATGCCAGGAGGCTAGGAGGACTGGCTGATGGCAAGTGAGTGTGGCTGAGAATGTTAGTGCTTATGCACATGCCTGGGTTGGCCGGGACAGCATGACACCTGCAGCTGCTTGGCTGCTGTGAGAACAGGCCGGGGGAGCAAAGTGTTCATTCGCCACTGCGGTCAGGCTCTGGGAAGTGAGGGTGTTACTAGCCTTCCCTAGGCTTTATACCCAGTACCCCACTCAGCCTGGAGGGAAGTTCCCCAAGCCAACAGAGTCTCAGTGGAAGCCTCAGTGATCAGGAGACTGGGACAAGTTTTCATTTCTCTTCCTTCATGGCCTTAGGAGGAGTCTGGGATTCAAACCCAAAAGCAGTCCCTTAGGACAGGAAGGCCTGGGCTGCAAATACAGGATTTATAGACCAGCCAGGTGTAGACGAGGTCATCCAATCTACCCCCTCCCCACGTTACAGATGGGGAAACTGAGGTCAAAAAGGTGACATGCTTTGGTCAAGGGTGAGTTAGGGTGAGAACTCAGGCCCGCCGAGCTGAGCAGACCGGGATTGAAACAGGTAGCAATCAGCTTGAGAGGCCTCTTCTCTGGTCTAGATTCCCGAAACTTCCTCTTGAGCCCAGGAAGGGCTGCAAATCTCATGGGCATGTCAGTCTTCACCAGAGGATGGTGGCCAGAAGTGGGTCCCCTGAGGGGACAAAAATTCTGGAGAGAAATCTGGTGGCCAGTGGGCCCAATAGCAGGTCATAAATTCTTTCCTATTACAAAAGGCCAGGGAGACGACACCCACATGGGCCGAAGCTGGCAGACCCAAGACAAATGCCCAGCTGCTGCCATCGGAACGCAGCCCAGGCAGCCTGGTGGGGGGTGTGAGAGGCTCAGGTTGGCCATGGGCTGGCCGCTGTCTGATGGACCCTTCCCTGGACCCCCTGCCCAGCCCCCCACAGGCCTCCATGCAGCGGTTCTCTGGGAAGACAGGCTCATCCTCCTCTCCGCCTCTGCCCTGGCCAGTTAATATTCAATAGAAGTTACATTAGGTCCCCGACCCCACTAATACTGAGCAAACATTTGGAAAACATCATTCCGTGACTGAGCTCGCGCCGGGCACTGATAACGCCGGCTTAACCTTGAGGAGCCCAGCCCGCAGCTGCTGACAGCAGCCCTTTTATTCGGCCCGCCTCCACTTGGCGCCCGGGTGGGTGCGGGCAGCGCTGGCAGCCAGGAGGGGAGTGGTGGCCGGCAGGGCTGCAGCTGGGGCTGGGAGGGCTGCTGGACAGGGCACTGGCCCTGTCCACGGGGGTGGGTCTCAGGAGAGGAGATTTTTTACCTTGGTACCTCTGTTATACCCCACTGACTCTGTTTAGACTTTTGACTTTCTCTGATTTCAATAATGTGTGAAATCAAGAGAAAGCTGGATAGCTGGGATGTCAAGGTTCCACTGAGAAATAGGGCATGGGTACTGCTAAGCATTAGACTCATCTCCATCCGGCACCTTCTTCCTTTCATTCAACAGGCATTTACAGAGCACCTACTGTGTGCCAGGCTCTGTTCTAGTCACTGGGACTATAGCAGTGAACAAGAGGAATGAACTTCTGGCTTTCTGGAGCTTTCCTTTTCATGGAGAGACAGAGAGTAAAGAAATGAACGAAGAATTCTATAATAAGTGCCAAGAAGAAAAATAAAGCCAGACAAGGGGCCGAACGTGAGGGAGGAATGCCACACCAGACAGGGCGGTCAGAGAGGGTGTCCCTGGGAAGGGGACATCTGCACCAAGACAGGAGTGAAGTGAAGAAGCTGAGCTGTGGGGAAAGAGTTCCAGGCAGAGGGAACTGAGGCGGCCCGGGCCCTGGGGGAGATGGCGGTGTCTGAGGAACAGCAGCGAGCCAGGCTTGATGGACAGTGAGTCAACGGGAGATCTGAGTGAAGGGCAGAGAGGGAAGTGTGACTCGGCTCCGCGGGCAGCGGGGGCACTGGTTTTGAGCCGAGGAGGGATATGACCTGAGTTCAGTCTCAGCAGACCCCTTTGTCAGCTGAGAGGTGCACAGACCCAAGGCCAGAAGCCGAGTGACCAGTGCGGGGGGCCTGCGCCCTCCAGGGAGAGGCAGCAGGGCTGCCCGGAGGGGGAGTTGCAGCTGGATTTTGTAAGAATTCCTGACAGCATTTGAGGTGTGAGCAGAAAGAGGACTGGGGCAAGACTTCCCATTCCAGGAAGGGAGTGGGAGAGTAAACCTGCTGGTTCCTGAGTTGGGAAAACTGCAGAGGAGCCGTGTGGACGGGGAAACAGAGGCCCAGAGGAGGTTGTGGTTTCTACCAGCGCAGGAGTGAGTGGCAAACTCTGCCCAGACAGGAGCCCATGTTGCCTGCTGTCTCATCCTCCCTCCTTCAAGCCTCAGCAAAGCCTCATTTCGCAGCGTGGCCTCACAGACTCCAAGGGCCAGGGCAGCAGGAGGTGCCTCCTCCACCTTAGCCAGGACTGACTCAGGTGGGGATGCACACTGCACTGTGGGGCCTGGTGGACAGACGCCCTGGGTCTCTGAGCACCTGGGAGAGCCCAGCGCTGGGGCAGGAGGGAGACAGAGCCCTTCCTTGCTGCCTCTGAGCACATGCAGCTCTGGCTGGTAGGTGAGACTGCCAGGGCGGGGCCTCCGGATCCCACTGTCCCCATCTTCCGCCTCAGTGTTCAAGAATCCCTGGGCCGTTTCCATGTCACCCAGAACAATTCATTTTGCTTGTTTAATACACTTTTATCTGGCAAGAAAGGGACCCTTTTCCAAAAGAGAGCTTAACAATCTGTCATCCACACAGACCCACTATAAGCCCTCTGCCAAACCACCACTATCTTGCATGCCTCCAGTGACTGGTAGATCACTCCTGCAGCCATCCCATCGTGTTGGCGGTGGTTCTGGCACTTGGAAAGTTCTTTCACAAGATGGATTTAAATCCATCTCCCCTCTTTCCCATGCTCTGGTCTGGGCCCTGCCCCTGGATACCCCCTCCTACCTCCAACGGTGTTTCCTCCACTCCGGGAGAGCCCTGCCATATCCCTTTCCAGGCTGACCTATCTCCCCTTGCGCCCACCCACTCCTCATCAGTCATGGGGCAACCCTTCCCTCCCCCACATCCCTGCCCTCTCTCTTCACCTCTCTGCCTCCTCGCAGCCGTCCAAAATGAACGGGACCGGATCAGCACTCGCAGGTCAAGCTACGAAGACAGCAGCCTGCCCTCCATCAATGCCCTCCTGCAGGCTGAGGTCCTGTCCCAGCAGGTACTGGGGTGACCCTCCACCTACCTGAGAATCCCCACACTGAAGAGGAGTCTCATCTCCACCCCTGTTCTCCCCAGCCAGGCCCTGGAGCAGCAGCCAAAAGGGCCTGGAATATCACAAAAGGGAAACTGAATTCAGGGTCACACAGCCAGTTTACTAGCAAACACAGAACTTGAACCCAGGTCTGGCACTCTGGGGCACCTTCTAGGGCATCCTGCAGCCTATGTTCTGCAGGCCAAGCAGAGTCTTTGCTTTCACTGAGGGCCTGAGATCAGCTTCATTCAAGAGAACAGAGTAGTGGACAGAGTGGAGAGAGTAGAAACTGGGGCTCAGCCAATCCCTTGCTGTGTGACCTTGGACAAATAATAGCACCTCTCTGGGCTGTGGTTTCTTCACCTATCAGATGAGGATGATGATTTTGCCCTGCTTCTCCTCTAGGGCTGAGGGGTTCCTTAGGATTCTAAGGAGCAGGTGCAGAAGGAGGTAGGGGCAGGCATCAGGTGAAGGCCTGGGAGAGATGTCCTCCCTCATTTCTGCCTGCTTCATCATCCTTCCTCTGTCTGGTTTCTCCTGAGCTTCCTCCAGAGCTGAGAAGGCACCCACCATCCATCTCCCCTTCTGCAGACAGGGAAACTGTCTGGGGAGGGGCTCCTTGCAGGGACAGAGAGGGCAGGGAAGGCCCAGCCATTCTCAGCATTTTCCTTTGTCTCCCTGCAGATCACATCTCCCGTCTCCGGGATCAACGGAGACATTCGGGCAAAAAAGATCGCCAGCATTGCAGACGTGTGTGAGTCCATGAAGGAGCAGCTGCTGGTGCTGGTGGAGTGGGCCAAGTACATCCCCGCTTTCTGTGAGCTCCCCTTGGATGACCAGGTGAGGGTGGACATTCTGCTGGCCCACCTGACACATAGCCTTGGATGACTTGTTTTATTTTATTTAACAACACACACATAATGCTCATGGGTGCCCAGGGCTGTTTAAATTGCTTTACAAATATTAACTCATCAAACCCCTCCAACAGCCCTACGTGGTTGGTACTATTAGTATTGCCATCTTATGGAGGAGGAAACTGGGACACAGAGAGGTTAAATAACTTGCTCAAGGTCACACAGCTAGTATCCAGCACAGCTGGGATTAAAACCAGGCAGGCAAGCTCCAAAGTCCAGGCTCTTAGCCGCTGCATCAGGCAGCTGTCCTGGGGGGAAGTTGACAGGGGCCTGGCCAAGGATCAGGAGATCTGGGCTTGAGCTCTGGCTCTAAGGCTGGTTCTCTATGTGATTTTAGACAAATTAACTTCCTCTCTCTGAGCCTCAGTTTTCTTATCTGTAAAGAGGGAATTATAATATCTGCTTCAGCAAGTTGTTGGGAGATTGAGGACATCACCATTTACAAAGCATAAATCATGTGATGGGACACCTGCTCAGTGCTCAGGCAGCAGCTTCCTGAACATCAGGGTCTTCCTTGTATCCCACCAAATGGTTTAACTCAGCATTTTATTCCCCAAAGTACTTTCTTTGGAATACCAAAAATGTCCCAGGGGAATTAAGGGGTTTGCAGGAGGTGGTCGGAGGGCAGATGAGTTTCTGAGATACTGAGAATGGTAGCTCTTGCCCAGGGTGCCCCCTGGGCCTCCTCAGGCATATTCCCTGTCCAGTAAAGGGGAGCTTCACTGTGGCACCTTTTCAGCTCTGAAGGAAGCTTGGGACACCAATGGACCATGCCTCTGACACAGCTCCTGGGGCCTTTGCTTCTCTGCGTTTTGCACATTTGCACAAAAGACTGACAATGTATGTCAGTCTCTTAAAGTTTCTGAGAAATTCTGCAGGCAGGGCAGCTGTTGGGTTTGGTAGAATCCAGGGCTTCTCAAATCCCTCTGACACCCAGACTCTCCTGGAACAGCTATTAGTATCCTACAGTGGGACACGTTGTGAAAACACCGGCTCGGCTGGTCCTCAGCCTCGAATGCCCTCTCTCATGGATCCCTCCCCACCTTGGAGGGATGTCAGCGCAGGGCTCGTGGCTGAGCTGCCCCTGCCTTCTCCCTTGCTCCCTGTGTTCTGGCCTTGGTCCCCTCTGCTGGAGAGTCTACATTAATGTTTAATCCCTTCTGTTCCTTCCCAGGGGCTCAGCAGGGCAGCAAGACACCCCCAAGCTGAGCAATTGTTAACCTCTATTTCCTACCCAAACCTCCCTGGCTAGGGCTCAGAGCATTCTCAGAGAGCAGTGATGGGTGGCCAATAACACAGGACAATCATTAACACCCCACCCCCTACTGCCACATGCCCACCCCCCAGAATAGCTGCCATGTCAGAGAGCTGGACCTGAGGCCAGGAGGTCCCTAGCTCCCCCTTCCTGGAGTATAAGGAGCCCATCCTACCTGAGATGGGTAGGGCACACCTGGGATAATCAGGAGGCATTGTCTCCCAAAGGACACCCCAGTTCTGTCGAAGTTGCCCCAGGAACAACTTTCCCAGTTTGTTTGTTTCTTGATTTGTTTTGGACCTCAATCCATTGAAACTTAGAAGGCTGGATGGCATCAGATAAGGGCACTAGGGTCTAGAGAGGGAAGGCTACCTGCTCATGGTTGCAGGGCAAGGCAGCTACAGGGCTGGAGTTTGATGCCAGGTCTTCTGCCTCTCAGTGTGAGAGCCACTGGTGTAAGTGGGAAAAGCCCTGCCCAGTGCCCAGCGAGCGGGATGTGCTCAGTCAAAAGCATCCTTGGCCTCCTTTGGTCCTGGTCACAGTAAGCAGCCCCTCACCTTCAAGGCCATTTGCCATTTCTCTTTTCCTGTCATCCTCCCAAGGCCTAACATGGGGACAGACAAGGTAAGCACAGGTGGCTGCTCAGGAGGGGCAAGACCTGGAGAGGAAGTTAGTAGTTTTCTCATTCATTCTTTCATCCACTCATCCTCTCCTTCCTTCTTTCAAACAAATACATATTGAATGCTTACCATGTGCGGCCATCTCCCATGCCTTAGAATGGTTTCACCTCCTTAGTGAGGCCTTCTCTGACCCCTCGCCCCATTGCTCTATATCACACAACCTTCACTTTCCTTCCATCCTTCTCTCCTTCCTTCCTGAAATCACCTGTCACTTAGTAAGAACCTAACATCTCATTGTATGAAAGAAAGAGCAATCAAATGAACTGATGAACAAAAGCATTTTTACTTCCTACTTTAGCCCGCTAGAAAAACCTCCCTCATTCAGCTAGAAAAAAGCTCCCTCGCCCAACCTTGCAGATAAGATCCTTGAGGCTACCAGCCTGCTGTTATTTTTACCAGCCCACCCTGTGGTCCTCATGTAAGCACTAAGGCAGATGGCTCTGAAAGGGCAGGAGATTCCTCCTGAGAGCTGGCCGGGTCCTGGCCTCAGACTTGTAATCTTCAAAGGCTGCTTTGCCTCTTTGCAGGGAACAGGGCCTGTCAAGCTCACCCCCGGCCAGGGACCAGCGTTCACACCTTTGCCTTAAAAGCCAACATCCATGTCCAAATTCTTGTAACTCACTCAGAATCCTAGACTCTTACAATGTGAGTGGCCAGATGCGCTGGAGATCTTCCAGAGCTCCCAAACATAATTGCATATCAGAATTAATGAGGAAGCTTGTTAAATACAGACCCTTGCCCCCCCTACCCCACTCCCACTCCATATATACAGAATCAGAATCTCTGGTAGTAGGGACTAAGAATCTGCACGTAAAACACTCTTCATAATCTTCTGTAGCTGGCCCATAGGTAGGAATTCAGGACCCACAGTTAGGGAGCTTTTTGGGTCATAGACTTTTCTTGAGAGTTTGATGAAAGCCTTTGAACCTCTGCTGAGAACCCAGAATGCTGTTTTACAGTTTCACCAGGCACACAAATGAGGCCCAGAGGGGAGCAGCAACTTGCTCGACTTGACAGAGTCAGTATTTGGTGTCTAGGCTCTGAGCACATGTTCTTTCCCCTTCCAGGTTCCTGCCAGATCTTTTCCAGGACCCTGGTTTCATTAGTTATGGGAGGAAGGCAGCAGTTTTCTGATGCCCATTTTATAGTTTGGGCAGGTAAAGGCAGGGGAAGCATTAAGCTGACTGGCCCAGGGTCATCGAGCCGGCCAGATGCAGCCTTCCCAACGTGCAGCCTTCCCAGGGCACAGATGCCAGACACCATCCCCTCTCTTTCAGGTGGCCCTGCTCAGAGCCCATGCTGGTGAGCACCTGCTGCTTGGGGCTACCAAGCGATCCATGGTGTTCAAGGATGTTCTGCTTCTAGGTAAGGAGGCTGCCTTGCCCAGCCAGGGCTTGCCCAGTGTGGAATGCATGCAGGCACAGATTTCCATGGTAGCTTGCAGGGGTGAGTGAGATGGACCAAGAATGGCCCTGTTTCCATGTTCTCAACTGGACACTCCACTCAGATGCAAGGAAATGTGGATGCAATGAATTGAAGTAACCCAGCATTAAAGTTAGAGTACAGTCATGGTCATCCCTGGAAACTGCATGCATTCTGATGGGCTTTCTAGAGCAGGAAAAAGAGACAGCCAGGAAAGGCACCAACCCCCAGCCTGTGTCACCTATGCCTTCATGGCATGTTATTTATTATTTTAGATGTTGATATAGATCACACTATGGGCCACAGATTAGCCTGAGTACTTTAAAAATGTTAACTCCTTTAATACAGCAACCCTATGAGATAAGCAATTATTTATCCCCCTTTTACAAAAAACCTGAGGCACAGAAAGTAATTTATGTGAATATATCTGGGTTGTTAGTGGTAGAACTGGGATTCAACCTGGGCAGTCCAGAAACTGGGCCCTTAACCTTAATGCTTTGGTGCCTCCCAAGTGGCCCTTGAATGTCAGCGGTCTTGTGGGACCTGCTGGAGAAGAGAGCATGGATGATGTGAAAGGGTCCTAGAAATCCAGGCTCCAGGCCCAGGCTAGGGACTCCATTTCATTAATCTGGGCCTCAGCTTCCTCATCTGTAAAATGGGTGTGCTAACCCCCATGGGGCCCTCCTCCCAGGGCACCAGCTGCATTGCACTGTGACAGGTAAGGCCTGTCCAAAGCTAGGGGTGAGTGGTACCCCCAAAGTGGCTTCCCCATCCACTCTCCTTCCCGACCAACCCAGGCAATGACTACATCGTCCCTCGGCACTGCCCAGAGCTGGCAGAGATGAACCGGGTGTCCATGCGCATCCTCGACGAGCTGGTGCTGCCCTTCCAGGAGCTGCAGATCGATGACAATGAATACGCCTGCCTCAAAGCCATCATATTCTTTGACCCAGGTACAGCCCACCCTGCCCTCCCACCCTCATGCACCAGGCCGGCTGTCAAACCTCCTATTGTGTTACGGACCCTGAGCTCACAGCCTCATCTCTTTAATGCAACAGCCAGGAGAGGTCATTTTTATTAGCTCCATTTAATAGAGGAGGAAAATTGAAGTTTGAAGGGGTGGTGTGACCTGCCAGGGTACACAGCCTCCAGAGGCTCGGCTTTTTCTTTGCCTCCTTTCCCTTCCTGCCTGCTTCCTTCCCTCCTAGCTTCCTTCTCTCCTTTCCTTTCATCTTTTCTTCTTTCCCTCAAAAAATTATATCAAAATAGTATCTGTGCACACCTAAAAGTCAGTCTTCCCCACCCTACATTTCCTGTAAAGCCTACTCCCCAGGGGAAACCATTTCTGCTTCTTTTTAACTGTTTCTTCTGGCAGTTACCCAAGAGCTCTAAACAAAATGCTGGGCCTTGATTTATCTGTTAGTTCTGTTATCTACTTACCTATTTGGGATCGTATTTTTCCTCCTATGCTAGTTGAGGCTTTCACTTTTCTCTATGGCCATTCCCATCTTCTTTCCCATCGTCTTAATATATTTTCATTGCTATTTTAGTGTCCCTACTAATTGCCTTTATAATGTCGTTGTGTGCTTTTGTTTTTATTTCTTGTCCCATCAGCTGCAGACAAAAGCATAGACTCCTACCCCTTCCCTTGGATGAAGGTATTGCTTCCCCGCCCTTTCCTTCCGCTCTTGACTCTCCCCACTCCACCTACTGCTGTCCACCTGCATTTTTACAGAATGTCTTTGTAGTTATGTCTTTGTGCAAAGCCTGTTGCCATTTCATGATATCAAGATGCCTGGGCCCCAAAGGCTTGCTTGCTTCCAAAGGTTAGAGAGCAGACTGTGTCCTCAGTACCAGGCTCCACCTGCATGGAGAGCACCGCTGGTCCCAGTAGTACCTATTAAGAAGAGGAAGGTGACCATCGTTTACGGGATGCTCCCTAAGGCACTTTATGTGGATTATCTCACTTATCACTATTTGCAACACAGTACCTGTGAGGTAGGCATTGACATTAGACCCATTTTGCAGATAAGAAAACAGGGAGATCGATTACTTTGCCCAAGGTTCCACATCCAGGAAAGGGCAACAACTATCCAGCTCTCTCAAGCCCATGTTCTTATCTACCAGGTGCTACTCCCTGTTTCTTGAAGGGTCAGATTTCTAATTCTAGTTTCCTTGAGAACCTGGCCCAGGCTGTATCCCCTGCAGTGTTCAGCATGGGGCTGGGCAAATAGGAATTGCTCAGCAAAATGGGCAGGATTACTGGGACCGAGTCAGGGTCAGAACCTAGCTTAGAGGGGAAGGTGGTCTAGTATAGGGCCTGGCATGTGGGTGGTATGCAATGAATGTTTGTTGACTGAATGAAAGAACACACAAATGTGGCTCAGTGGAGTGAGCCCTGGCTTGGAAGTGTGAGTAGAAGTCTCCTCCAGCCACTGACTTTGTCTGTAAAAGAGGAAATAAGTGCATCACCTCCATGAAGACTGAGATTAACTATTATATCACCACTTGAGTCCCCTTCTAGGTTAAGAATCTAGAATTGATCCACTGAATTTTTTATTTGTTTCACTCACCCTTCCACCCATTTCCCATCCCTTCATCTAGTTTATCTATTCAACAGATACCAGCTATGCATGTGCTAGGTGGTGGGTTTAGTATGACAAAAAAGTCTGCACAGAGAGTCTAGTGGAAGAGACAATTATAACCTATGTGGCCAATAGTCTCATAATGCAGACTTGGGAAAGTGGAATGGAGAAGACTTCCTGGAGGATCGAACCCCAAGGCGACAGCCCAGTATGACACAGGCATGGGAGCAGGGAAGCAGGGAGCTTGTTCTAAGGCAGCAGAAGGAGCATGTGCTGAGGTCCGGATACTGGGACTTCAACGGCGAACCAGGAGCCCTGCCGACAGCTGTCTATGTGACCTGGACCAAGTCCTTTTCCTGCTCTGTGCTTGTTTCCCCAGCTGTAAAGAGAAGGGTGCTAGGTGCCCTCCTGGGCATGCTCCTTAAGTCCTGCCCTCCATCCTCCACTGCCCTCTCCCAGTTCTGCATCTTAGGAAATGTGTCTGAGTCCAGGAAGTGCTGGTGCCAGTGTTCTTTGGTTCCTAGGACCCGAATACTCATCCCAGCACTGCTGAGAGCTCCCTGTGTGAGCTGGGGGAGATCTGGGTCCCCACCAGCCCCCCTCGCCTGCCCCTCCCGTTGCAGATGCCAAGGGGCTGAGCGACCCGGGCAAGATCAAGCGGCTGCGTTCGCAGGTGCAGGTGAGCCTGGAGGACTACATCAACGACCGCCAGTACGACTCGCGCGGCCGCTTCGGCGAGCTGCTCCTGCTCCTGCCCACTCTGCAGAGCATCACCTGGCAGATGATCGAGCAGATCCAGTTCATCAAGCTCTTCGGCATGGCCAAGATCGACAACCTGCTGCAGGAGATGCTGCTCGGAGGTCCGTGCCCGGCACAGGAGGGGCTGAGAGGTGGGTGGGGTGGGGGCTTGCCTCTCGCCTCCACCACCTCTTCGCTCTGTGGCTTTGGGCAAATCCCTAAGTGAGTCCCAGGTTCCTCACTGAGGAAGTGGGAACAAGAACCCATTTATTCAGGCACTGAGAGCCTAGCATGTGCCAATCACCATCCTAAGTGCTGGAGATTCAAGAGTGTGTGTGCCTCAATGTGTGCATAAGGGCTTGTGGGAACAGACAATAATCAAGTATATAATACAGAGGGTAACTAGAGACTTTGAAATAAACAGGTAGTGTGATAGAGTGTAACTGAAAAGGGGTCTCTTTAGATAGGCTGGCCCAGGGAGAACTCTCTGAAGTAGTGACTTCTGTGCTAAGATCTGAGGGATGAAAGGAAATAGAACATTTAAAAGCTAAGAGAAAAACATTCCAGAGAGGAGTAACTAATGCAGAAGTCCTGAGGCAGGGAAGGTCTGTGTGTTTGAGAAAGTTGGGGGAGTTCTATGAGGTGAAGATGAAGTCTGGGCAGAAACCAAACCATAAGCATGTGGTTTTATTGGATTTTATTCTCATTGCAACTACTGTAAGAAGAGTGAAAATCAGACTTATGTTTTAAACAAACTACTCTAATTGTTGGGTAGAAAGTGAATTTCAGTGGTGGGGGTGGGGATGGAGCTGTAGAGGCAGGAGACCCCGGAGAATGTTATTGTCTCCACTCTGGGAAGGATGATGTAGGCTTAGACTAAAGCATGATGGGAAATTTAGCGGCACAGATCAATCTGGCCATTGATGTGGAGGAAGAACCCACAGGATGTGCGGGGAGTGAGGGAAGGGAAGGGTCAAGGGTGAAACCTACCTTTTTGCTTTGAGTAATAGGGATGCCGGTGGAATGATTTACTGACATGAGGGAGATAGAGGAATAACAGTTTGAAGCTGGGCATGGTGGTGGGGCTGAGAGATGAGCCAAGAGATCCCTTTTAGACTCTGATTAAGCTTGAGATGACTCTTGATATCCACGTTGAGTGAAGGAGGCAGTCGGAAGTTTTAGTTTGTTGCTGAAACAAGAGCCCAAAGCTCAGGATGAAAGGCAGCCCCATGGTGCTCTAGCAGTCAGGTGTCATGGAAGGAGATGGAGGAAGTCTGGTCAGGGGGAGAGGAGAAAAGCCAGGGAAGTTCCAGAACCCAAGAGATGAGAACATTTTAAGGCGGACAGAGCATTTAAATTCAATCTTACAGGAAGGGAGGAAGGTGTTCACTGGATTGGCAATACGGAGGATCTTGGCAGTATTGCTGAGAGCAGCACCAGAGGACTGTGAGATGGAAGCCAGGGTGGATTGGGGGCGTTGTTACAGAGGGAATGAGTAGGAAATTGAAGTAGACACCCTTTGAAAACACTTTCCCACAAAGGGGAGCTCTGAGAGAGCTGAGCGTGCTGGTAAGGGAGTGATGATAATGGTGGCTCTCAGAGTCTTGGCTGGACTCAAAGAAAAAGATGGATGGATAATTAGTGAAGCCTGTGGGTCAGTGTGTTGACAGCTTCAATAGGGTCGGAGAATTCTTGCAGTGATGGTACTGGATGAAGTGAGCAGGGAGGTGGGAGACAGGACCTGAGCAAGGATGCTTGAACTCAAGATTTTGGAGGAGACGCAGTTACTGCGGATAGTATGGCCAAGGGCAAGGTCTCAATGTCAGCAGATAGTTGGGACTGGATAATTCTTTGTCACAGTTCTGTGCACTGTTTAGCCACCTCCCTGGCCTCTACCCATGAGATGCCAGTAGCACTCCTGCAGTAATGACGACCAAGAACATCTTCAGACATTGTCAAATATCCCCTGAGGGGCCAAAATCACCCCCAATTGGGACCCACTGTCATGTGGTGACTCATCTCATTCTCACTTGGACCCTACTGTAGCATTATTATGAACCAGGAGTCACTGAGATTGGGATCAGGAAGGAGCTTGTACTCTGTTGCCAGATCAACTTAAATAAGATAATCAATCTCTCCCTGTAATCTTTCTGTAGAATGGGATAATAATGATATCCACCCTAAAGGATTGTTGCAAAGATTAAATTATGCAAAACATAAAAAGTACTGTATACCTGGCATATAATAGGTGCTCAATAATTGATACCTATCATTGAAACAGGAGTACTTTAAAGGCCTGTTGCAAGCCCTAAAATTCCATCATTGTCCTATTAGTGATCATAGCTTGTTACCCTATGAAGCAGTTATTGAGTTCCAGAGACTTTGCTTGGCACTCAAAGAGAGAAGAAAAGTAAATCTGTAGTTATCACGGTCACAAGCCAAAAAGTGCTTATTCCCAAAAGATGGGTTACAGATAAAGTACTATGGGAATTCCATGAAGGGGAGGTTCACTTCCTACTGGAGTGAGAAGTATCAGGAGAGGCTTCCCAGAGGAGGAATTGTCTGAGCTGGAATTTTGCCATGTGGACATGAAGAGGTGGGGGTGGAGAAGGCATCTCTAGTGGAAGCGACAAATGAGCAAAAGCACTGTGATGGGGAAGGACAGGGAACACAAACGCTACAGGTAGGTCAGTATGGCTGAAGCAGAGGTGTGGGGGACACCAAAGGTAAGGTGACACCAAATGGTTGAAGAACTTGCATGCCAAGGAGCTTTGAGAGCCATTGATTCAATCCATTATGTTAACATTCAATCAATACACTACTCATTATAATATTTAAATGATCTCCCATCTTCTTTACATGTTCTTGTTTCTTTCAAATCACTTTTATTCTCTTGTTCTGTTGGGTCCTCTCAATATTCCCATGAAAACTGTCAATAGGAATGGTTAGACCCAGTTTACTAACCCAGGAATAGGTATCCAGTGGGCACTGTTGATAATTGGGTGGGCAGGCTGATTGGCCACACCTGAGGAAGATGGTGCCTCAGGGCTTATCCCAGACTCTCTCTCTTGACTGAGCCCCTCCTGTGTCTGCAGGGTCCTCCAGTGAGGCAACTCATGCCCATCATCCCCTGCACCCTCACCTGATGCAGGAACACATGGGCACCAACGTCATTGTTGCCAACACGATGCCTGCTCACCTCAGCAATGGACAGATGTGTGAGTGGCCCCGACCCAGGGCGCAGGCAGGTGGGCACCTTGGGCTCTACCCAGGAAGGGGTGAGGTTGGGGCCTAACAAGGGAGCCACAAGAAGGTTGCATCTAGAGGACGGGAATCAGGATATAATACTTCTCTGTGCCCCAGGGTAGGGATTGAGGGGTGAGATGCTCCATTTGTTATGGCTGCTTATTCAGTGAGGTGATTGACAGCCTCTGCTGAATGAAGCTGTCCTTGGAATGAGGCGTCCATTGGATGAGGTCGCCCATTGAATGAACATGTCTGTTAGGTGCCCAACTGGGTAAGTCTATCCATGAGACAATTGGGAGAGACTATTCATTGGGTGGGGATGTCCCCCACTGGGCTAGATAATCCTGGGAGGTTAAACCTCATAAACATGAGTTAGTCTTTGGGCAAAGTTCTTCAAAAAGGAAGATTATGGTTGGGATGAGGTGGTCCACCAAAGTGAGATTGCATCGCATTGAGTTTGTTCTTTGGGAAAGTTTCCCACTGGGTAAAGTTGGCCAAGTGAGTCAGGATGAGTTACTTTCGAATAAGTGATGGGTGTGATGTCAATTCGTTTCCATTACTCATCCACTTAAATATCAAAGTAATGTGTTTTTTGAGCCAGTTAGCCAGACTCTTAGGTCTTATCAACTGTTGTTCCTTCTCTCCAAGAAAGAACATTCCTGTCACATGCTCATGGTCCTTGGGGAGAGTCAGACTTGGAATCTGGTTTGGGAGAAGCAGCCCATGTCTCCACAGTAAATAATGGGGGAGATGTGGGGTTGGCAGGACCTAGGCAAAAGGCTCAGACCACAGCACGTGACCCGGCCACAGCCTTCCATACTGCATAGAACTTGAACTTTATGATCAGGGTCAGAAGATTTGAGCTGTAAAAGATGTTAGAGATTATCTAGTTTAATTAACTTATTTTATAGAAAAAGAAACTAAGTCTCAGACAGGGGGAAGAACTCCTCCAGGACTCTTTATTCCCCAAAGGGCTGTAATTCTAAGCAGCCCCTGTCTGCCTTTCTGTCCCTCCAGCCACCCCTGAGACTCCACAGCCCTCTCCGCCAGGTGGCTCAGGGTCTGAGCCCTACAAGCTCCTGCCGGGAGCAATTGCCACAATCGTCAAGCCCCCCTCCGCCATCCCCCAGCCAACCATCACCAAGCAGGAAGTCATCTAGCAAGATGCTGGGGGCCGGAGGCTCTGCTGGCCTCCTCGCCCCCCTCGGAGAGCCCCGGTGCTCCCTTGGTCACAGTGAAGGAAGTCGTGACCACAGGGCCAGTCTCAGAGCAGCAATGGAAAGGACGAACGGCCCAGGAACTTGGGCTGCGGGCCATGTCCCATTGCTACCCTCCTCCCCCTGCTCTGGATGGCGGGGCTTTGACGTGGGGAGACCCCAGCTGGAAAATTCTCTGCTGCCTTGGACTTTTCTCCTACCAAAGCCACTTCACCCGTATCTTCACCCCCAGAGGACAGCTGTTTGGGGATGACATGGGACCTTGCTTAAACATAGCCCCCTCCCCTCTCCGACCAGTGCTTCTCTCCCAGTGCTGTCACAGAGTGCGGACGCAGAGCCCTTCGAGGCTGCATCGGATCGCAGCGCCTTACCCCTCCCTGTTCTGCTGCCCCAGCCTCACAGCTCCTCTCCATGCACCTTCCTCAGCATCCTGGTTCCTCCCAAGCCCCATCTCCTGAGGCTGAGGAAGACTTGCACACAATTCCCTGGCTATTCCTGGAGATTTCTAAAGCACTGGCTGGGGCCACCCACAGGGTAGGAGGCTGTAGAAAAGGAAGACACCATCTTTCCTCTAACTCACGGCTCTTCCCTTCTTTGGGAGATACTGAGTAGTTGCCATCAGTACTCAGACCTATGATCCCTACACGCTTTCAGCAATGAGGAAACAGCCCAAGCTGGGCAAGTGCAACAGGGACTTGGAGGGAGGGCTGGAGGGCCAGAAAGCATCTGGAAAGGGATGATACTGCACGAGGCCATTAAAGAGGGGTTGGATTCTGGCTGGTGGAGCAGGTGAGCCGGGACATTCCAGGGAGGGCAGACAGCCTGGACAAAGCCTAGAGGTCAGCAGAAGGGGATGGGAGGGAGGCGATGAAAAGACCAGGCTGTCTGGAGCAGTGTGAAAGCCTTGAATGCCAGCCTGAGGCATTGAGACTTGGGGACCTGAGTCACGAGTAGCTGAGGAGGGATGTGCAGAGTAAACTGAGCTTTCAGAAGCTGAAGACAGCATCCTAGAGGGACTGGAAGGTTGGGAGGGAGCAGGGAGCTCAGATGGGAGCTGACGGTGCAGACCAGGTGTGAGTGATGAGGCTTAGGGACGGAAAAGATGGGGGATGAGTCCTTAGGTCAGAGGGATCCAGGGGAGAATCAGCCCCAGTCTGTCCCAGACTTCCTTATTCCCTGCACTGTCTGAGGCCTTGACATGCATCATCTCCTTTCTCCCCCACCCCGTTACCCAGAGATGGCCACAGAACATGGAATGGAGGTCTAAGAGGTGAAGTGGTTTTTCTGGAACTCACTCAGCTAGTAAGTGGCTGCATCCGGCCTTGATTCCAGTCTGCCTGGATCAGAACTGAGCTCTTAACCACAGAGGCTGATCACCTCTGAAAGGGCTCCTGTGTCCTCACTGTGAGCCAGGGGAGGGACTTCCTGCACCTTTCACCAGCTTCAGAAGCCAATGGCTCACCCTTCCCCAGGGTCCTGCCCATGCCCAAGACTAAGATCAGCCTGAGGCTGCACTCCAGCCCCCTTAGGGTCCAGATCCTGTTAGTGATAAACAAGGAACATCCGTAGTTCTTGGATCCCTTTTCTTTACTCCCCAAGTCTGGGGCAGGGGTTTGGTTCGTGGAATCTGGGAGTGGGATGGTTTGGAGGGGGAGCAGGGAACAGGTAAGAAGGCCTGGGTTTGAAACTTGAAATGCATTTTGGAAACATTAAATCCCAGGTGGGAACAGCCAGTACCTCATCCATGTAGAATCTCAGTGGCTTTGGGGAAATTGCAGAAAGTGCAACTCATCAGTGGAAATAAAAGAGACGTGCCCTGTGGCTAGAGCTGTGCTTACGTGGGAGAGTGAACACACAGTTAGGCTGGCTCCCTAACCCCACCGAGGGCTGATTCTTTGGAGTGCATGGGGGCTGTACTCCACCGCCTCCAATTGTGCCATTAGTCGTAGCTCCTGTTTGTGAACAAGGCATGTAAGTCCTGGGGGAGTACGTCCAAGAGAAATCTCTGCATCTCCAGCGCTGTCAGGAGGGCCTTGCCCACTCCCCCAAGCCAAGTGCTCAGTCCCACTAGAGACTGTCCCCCGCTCAGAGTTCTCAAGCCTTCCTCAGCCACCCCTCACTCTATATCCCTAGACATCCCAGCCAGGGGGCTCAGACTACTCTGGGCAAGGTTGGAGAGCTGGAATTGTTGGCCACTGTGGTCATCCCACTCTTTGCTCCTCCACCCCCTTAACCTGTATCACTCAGCCTCTACCATGGGAACAAGCTGAGATAGGAATTTGCAAAGGGTGGAGTGGGGTAACTGGCTTTTAACAGCAGCAGTCCTCTGGGCCAGGGGTCAGTCCTTGTCTCCAAATTAACCCACCCTGGAGGAGAAATCCATTCTGCTTTAGTAGTTTTATTGCAATACAGGAAACACAAAACAAAGAGAAGTTTACTTTTCTGATCCTGAACCGAACACACTGCAGTGGAGATTCTTTTTTTTTTTTTGCTACCTGAGTTGTGGTCCTAAAACATAATGTCTGAACGATGGAGAAGGAGTTTGGAGGGCAAGTACGGACCTGTGATTCCGCCATGTAGACAGCCCCTTTGCTAGGCAGCCAGCTCTTAGAAGCCTTCAGAGCCCACTGGCTCTCCAGAGGGTGGACAGAGGAGAGAAGAGGGTCAGACATGGGTGCTCCTAGATTTTTTTGTGATGACCAAGCCAATTGCCTTTACCAAATTGCTTTGTGATTTCCCCCTATTGGGATGAACTGTGAAATTAACATCAGGCAGTTCTGGAAGTAAGCTGTGTCCCATCGGGCCACCAGCATCTTCCCATGGGTGTGAGTCCATCAGGTCCTGTGCCGACCCCTGAACCCCCATCACTGCCACCCAGTGGGGCAAAGAAGCAAAAAACATTTCTTACTCTTGTGTGTTTTAACAAAAGTTTATAAAACAAAATAAATGGCACATATGTTTTCTAAGTCCTTGGATGGGTGTGTCTTCCTTTCAGGTATTAGACATAACACTTTACTGTGCGCAAAATGCTTCCATATACACCATTCTTTTTGAATCTTTAATAATAAACATTATCACATCACCACCACGACTTTATAGATGAGGAAACTGAGGCTCAAGGGAAGTGATTTCCCTCGAGAGGTAGAGGTGGGACTCTGGTCTCTTGATGCCAAGTGCTCAGTATGCAGAGAGAGAGCAAGTCAGTCCTCCCTCTTGAGAACAGGGATAGGGGAGAAGGCAGTGGAAAGATCTCAAAGGATAGCAGGAGGGTCCAAATGGAACCTGGTTCTGGGTCATTTCCAGGGACCTGAGTCAACCTGCCAGCAACAGTGGACAAGCAGGTATGGGACATGTCATAAAAGCAAGTCTTGCTTTTAAAAGGGAGTAAAAGCAACGATCCCTCGAGGTCTACAGGCAGGTCTGTGGACACATTGGTCTTTTCCCCAACACACCAGGTGAGTTGCCTTGTGCCCTGGCCACCTCATATACACTTCGGGGCTAGCATCTCTTCCCAACCTTCTGTTCAGCAGTGTCACATTGACGGCAGCATTTAAACCACAAGAACCAGCAAACGCTACAAATCAAGGCTTTCTCCCTGGAGACCCTTTGCCAAACACTCACCAGCACACCACTGCATTCAGTGGTGGGTAGACAGGGTGGCTGATGGTGGAACTGTGGATGTCTAAGTGTGGTGACATTCGAGGATGAGGGTGGGGCAGGATGACCCTTTCAGCTTCCCAAAGGGATGGACAACAGTTCTGGTCTGGGAGTCGCAGAGCTCCGCGGTCAGTGTGAACTTGGTCAGGTCGCTCCACCTCTCTGAGCCTCATCTGAACAACGGAAATGATACCTCCCTGCAGGAGTGTTGTCAGGATTAAATTGAACGGGATCATAGTAACTGTAAGAGCTGCCATGTAACAAGGTGCCCACCACCAGGGCTCAGTGTGAACTCCTCACCCAGCCCCTTTCCAGTGAGAAGCTAATCATTAAGCTCTCCAGCCTTGTAAGCACTCATTAGCTGCCTGCTGGATCCCTGGGGCCACTCCTGCTTTCCCCTGTCCCTTCCCTCCGCTCCTGAGCTCCAGGAAATGTTGTCCATAATGTTGCAATGGAAGCCTTGTCCATGCCGCTGCCAGTAAGGACACGGGGGTGGGGGGTGAGGAGGTACCACCGCCCTGGACTGCTTAATCAGTCCATATCAAACCGTAAACCCTGCGCTGCCATAAATTCCTCTGGCCTTGGTTCCTCCACATCATCAGCCCTTTGCCCCAGTTAATCTCAAGTCCGTGTGGGCGGCCAGAGCTCCAGGTTTGGTTTCCATTTAAGTTGCAAAACAGTATCAGCTTGGGTGATAAACAGCAAATCCCAACATCCCCATTTTAAAGGCAACGAAACCAAGTTTCAGAGAGGTGAAGGCACTTGTCCAAGGCACACAGCTAGTGAGCAGTCAGGCCAGGACTTGAATCCATTCCTCTTACCAACCCGTGTGGCCTCACTGAGTGTTGGGAATTCTGCCCCCTACAGACGTAACTTTCCCAGACATGACACTAGAAGCTCTCTCCCCCATGATGCCAGATGAGCCCCATTGCTCACAGAGCGGAGGTGAGAAGTGGAAGGGACTTCGGTGAACGGCTGCGTGAGGATCTAAAGGAAGTTCCATGTAGCGCGAGTGACCTGTCGTCCCAAACGGGTGGGGCCGCCCTACTTCCTTTTTTGTAGAACCCAGATCACCTTTCATCTGCATTTTTTGAATCAGTGTGTCATGTAAACTCCAAGATGTAATATAAAAGGCCTGAGTCACAGGAGCCATTCAGCTGCTGGAGGATGGCAGAGCTAGAAATCAAGAGCTGATTTCAAGGACAGCATTTGACTTGTTTCTCTTTGCCAAACCACTGAGGGACATAATTTAATCCCCACAACAACACTGAATCAGGTATTCTTTTTGGTCTACTTCACAAACAAGGAAGGGACTTGCCTAAGGTCTATAGTGGGTGTGACAGCCGAGACTCAAAGGCCACCATGATGGAATGGAGGAAGACGAGGCAGGCATACTGGCAGCCTGGTGGGCACAGAAGCAGTACTTCATCATCCAACAAATGTCGGTGGGCGAAGCTCTGTGCCACAGCATCCTGGAGGTTACGATAAAGCGATACCTTAATGTGGCTTCCTCTTGAAGCTTACACCTTTCACTCAGAGAGGGAAAGTAACAAGCAGTTGAATATACAAAGAGCCAAAGGAGAAAGAGTGACAGATGGTGACATGAACGTTTAAGGGAGGGATGACTGCATCTGGGAAAGGGAGTGGTGTGCACCTGCAGGTTTCAGAGGAAATAGTAAGGCAAAGAGAGAAGTGCAGTCGAGGTTGAAGAGAGAGGATGGAGAAGTAAATCGGGGCAGGCAGCAGGAAGCATGGCTTGTGGACGGGACGGAGGACAGAGACCAGTGTTTCCCAGCCTTCAGTCCTGCCACCGGCCACCTAGATCCTCTCCATACCTGAAAGCCACTGTACCTTCCTTTACTTAATATTGCTCTTGAAATCGGTTGGTCAATATTTTCTTACACTGATAACCTACATAAGTGGGAAAACAGTATCACTGTCCACAAGTAGGGGGGTGGTTGTAAAATTAAAGAGAAAACAGTATTCTTAAGGTGCCGCCAGATAGGATTGCACCAGGAAAGCTCTGCTCTTTCTTCTTCAAATGGGTAATGGACAAGAGTTCTGAGAGAGACGTTAAAGGCATATGTTCTCCAATGGAGACTTTCTCCATGAAGTTTCAGCAGGAAGTAAGCCCTGTAAAGAATGCTTCTGTGAAGGATTTTGCAGAGGTAGGGAAGGACCCAAACAGTTGACTCTGTAAAAGGGAGATTCTCCACGGCAGGCTTTGAAGATAGACGGGGCCACATGGCAAGGAATGCAGGTGGTCTCCGGAAGCTGAGAGCAACTCCCAGCTGACAGCCAGTTAGGAAATGGTTACATTAATGCTGCAACCAAGAGGAACTGAATTCAGGCAACACCCTGAATAAGCTTGGGAGTGGTTCCTTCCCCAGAGCCTTCAGGTAGGGACACAGTCCACCCAATATCTAGATTTCAGCTGTGGAAGACCCTGGGCAGAGAACCCCATCATGCTATGCCCAGACTTCCAACTGGACACTGTGAGGTAACAGATGGGTATTGCTTCAAGATACCAAGTTTGGGGTAATTTGTTATGAGGCATTGAAAACAAATACAGATGGTGGTGGGGAGAGGTGATCAGACTGAGATGTTTTGCAAGTAGTACTGTCAAGAGCTTGCTAATGGACTGGATGTGTGATGAGAAGAAAAGAAGTGACTGGGGGCTGGCAGGACTGATTGTTGGGGTGAAGAAGGCGAGGAGCTGTAGACTTGGGGTGGAAGTCAGAGCTCCTTTGGGGATGTTTTGTTTGAGATGCCAATTAAACCTTCAAGGTATCATTGGATATACAAGAGCCTAGGACTCAGGGAAAAGTTGGGCTGGAGAGAAAATTTCATGTCATAAACATAAGTGTGATTTAAAAGCTCTGCAAGTAAAAGGATCCAGCTACTGATACAAGCAACATGGATCTCAAATGCATCATTCTGAGTGCAAGACATCAGACCCCAAAGGCTACAAATGATACGATTCCATCTCTACGATATTCTGGAGAAAGCAAACTCTAGGGGCAAGTGCTGCGGTTGCCAGGGCCTAGGGCTGGGGCGGGGATCTTGACCACAAAGGGGCACAGAGGAGGGGGCTTGGGGTGGCGGGAATGTTCTGTATCTTGACTGTGGTGGTGCTTACATGACCATGTAGATTTGCCAAGGTGTGCAGATCCATACATTATTTAAAAGGGTGAGTCTTTGAAGATGGAAACTATATCTTAATAAAAAGGAAGGAAGGAAGGGAGGGAGGGAGGGAGGGAGGAAGGGAGCCAAATAGTGTTTTTTGCTCATTTAAAGAGGGAGTATAGCCAGCACAGAGGTATGGGTGAGGATTGCACTCTTGGCCTCTCCACCGTCCAGGCTGGAACAAATAAATGAGATGATGGTGAGGGAAAGGGACTCAGTCAGCGTCAGGTATGGGCCCAGCGTGTGTGCTGACACACTTGTCTTGCGTAGCCACGTCAGTGAGGCTGTGAGGCAGGTCAAGTCCTTGATTTACAGACAAGAGGAAGTGACTTGCCTTGGGTCCACTCAGACTCTAACACGGGCAAAGTGAAGTGATCATAGCGGCGTGCCCTGCATTCTATTACTTGTTAAATGAATTAATGAATGAATGAGCAAATGAACAAATGAGTAGCATTGTGCTCCAGGTGCTGAGGTTCATCCAAGCAGGTTTTAGCTGAGGATATGAAAACATGGTATTTTTAGAGAAGTTGGGACTATAAAACTTGTTCCATTTTCCGACTTGTGCAATGCCCAAACCCTCCCCCTGTGGCTGTGAAATTGCTCCCCGGCCTTGGGAAGGGCTCCCCAGCCTTATCTCAGGGGGAGAGTGAAACTGTAAAAGGCTTTATGGCTTTGAGATCATGTCTAGCAGGGGCAGTGATTGTTGCCATAAACCTGAGCGGCCCTCTGAGGGCAATGCCCTGGGCCACGGGCGTCAGGGGACAGTTGAGCAATGCCAAAGGGCAGCCACTGCTGAGCTGGGCACACTGGGGACCGTGGTCAGTGCCCATCACACACTTACCGTGTTTCATCCTTGCGTAAACCTCAAGAAGAGGCAGTTATTATGATATTTTTTAAATCCTGTGAAGCACCCTTTTTTGAATAGTATCTCTCAAGTTGGGATATGTCTTGGAATCAGTGGCATCCTATAACAACTGTTGGTTAGATCCAGTGCTGGTCATGACCTGCTTGATTCTAGTTGTTATTTCTGGTTGCCTGACTGGACAACTGTGCCCCTTGTGCATTTCATCATAAACTTTTCAAGGACCATTTGAGGGAGGGACATGAGGAACATTTGTTTCCT